AGGAGAGGGGGGAGATTTTGAAATTGTGTTATATTCTTGATTCTAATTTACTTGTCTTAGTAGCATTGGCTCACTTTGCATGTTGTTCATTTTTTAATTAGAATTGATACATTAGTTTTGTCAAATACTTGAATAATGTTAGACATTATATTTATAAATATTAATTTATTTTATCAAACATGAATTCCATGATGTTCTTACAAAACGTATTTTTTTAGTTTTTGTAAGTAACTAAACCAAATATTATTATAAATTATTTTCACAATATTAGTTATAAATACATGATTGCTAATTAATATATATTCACGAAAAAATATATATCTTAAATACCAAATCTAATATCATTTATACTTATAAAAATTATTTATAGGCATATATTTATTATATTAACTTTTAAGTTTTGATAATTACTTCATTTAAAATTTAATCTAACAGTATAATTACACTTGTGCAACCAAACAATAAATTTGTAATTACACTATGACAAACAAACAGGTCGTCGTAATTACTATGTTGTGTAATTACTACCCTAATAATTACACCAACTTCAATTACCCGATGGCCCTAACGAAAATGATGACTTTATCACTACTAAGCAGAAGTAATTTTTATATCTTACCCCACCTACTTCAACCAATATTTAAGCATTTTTATTTACTAGTGTTTTTGTTTGGAAAGTACGAAAGGAAATGAAAAGGAACCTTTGTATTGAAACATTGGAAGAGACATTAAAAAATGGAGGAAAGCATAGGAAACAATGAAATACTCGCTGAAGTATTATGTTCCTTCATTTTGTTTGTGGAATAAGGATGTCTTTTTATGAGCATAAAAAATTGGAAAAAGTTTTTTACCATAAAATGTTCAAAACATTTTCATTAGGAGAATAACTTTTATTTAAATGAAAATATACCACTTATTAATAGGCGAAATATTTTTTATTTATGAATATTTTCTTATTTTCACTCACCACTCACTTACTTTAAATGATATTTATATACATTATTATCGCCCTGAATTCTCAAAAGTATTAACATAACAAAATATTTGTATTCCGTGAATTGAACAAAAATAATAAGCCTCTAACCGACTATATAAAAAAAAAATGAAGGAAAGCAAATGCACCACCCCAAAAAAAAGGATCATTTGATTTTGAGACAAGATAATCCTTACTTGAGAACATAGACCAGAGAGAAACAAAAGCAAGGATAACGAAAACAAGCAACTATCAGAAACGAAGCTTGAGCTTAGCTCTAAGCTTTAATGGAGGAAAGCAGAGAATGTACGAGAGAGATTCATCTGAGAAACTTCCAGAAGATGGAACAATGAATGAAATGAAATCCTCAACACTTACAAGTGCCCTACTCCTATATATATACACTGACAACTGGACACAGCTGGACTAGGCAATCAACTAACGAGTGAAAAGCAAATTGTAACTAACTGCTGGAAATGTAACTAACTAACTAATTATCAGAAACATAACTAACTACCTAACTAATTGACTCGTACAGTGAAGTGAGCTAACCTCCTAAAATAATTACATATCTCAACACCACTCCCCCCCCCCCCTCAAGTTTGAGGGAAGGGACTTACAACCAACTTGCCAAGAAGAGATGAATGCTTGAGCCCTGTGAGTGATTTAGTAAAAATGTTAGCCAACTGCTCATGAGTGGACATGTAATGTAAATCAACAAGCCCCTCGTTGTGCTTAACCCGCACAAAATGACAATCAACTTCTATGTGTTTGGTCCGCTCATGAAATACCGTATTTCTTGCTATTTGCAGGGCAACTTAGCTATCACATAAGAATGGTATTGGTAATTGTAATGGAGCAGTCAACTCTTTAAGCAATTTAACACCTGTTGTGTTGATCTATACTCAGCTTCTATTGAGGACAGGGGTACAGTCGACTACTTCTTGGATTTCCAGCTGATGGGGGTGCTCCCAAGTAGTATAACAAATTCACTTACTGACCTTCTAGACTCGGGGCAAGCTGCCCAATCTGAGTAGCAAAAAACTTTAACCGTGTAGTCTCTTGTGCTGGAGAAAAAGAACCTTAAACTGGGATCCCCTTTTAGATATCTTGGAACATGAAAGACAGTTCTCAAATGCGTGTCTCTTGGGCTCTGCATACACTGGCTTAGATGTTGCACACTGTAGGCAATATCGAGTCTGATGTTAGTGAGAAAATTCAGTTTCCCTACCAATTTTCTGTAGTGAGATGGGTCTTCTAGTAAGACTCCATCATCTGCTATAAGTTTGACTGAAGAGTCAAGAGGTGAGGACATTTGAGAGCAGCTCAGACAATGGTGTTCTTTGAGTAAATCTTGAGCAAACTTCCTTTGTGTAAGCGGGACACCGCCAGCAGTGGATAGCACTTGCATTCACATAATATAGTGAAGTTTGCTTAGATCCTTTATTTTGAATGTCTGGTCTAAGAACCTCTTTAGGGAAAGGATTTCCTATGTGTCTGTCCCAGTCAGTATAGCATCATCTACATAGACTGCTACAAAAACTACTGAATTTCCCTTTCTTTTTGGAGAAAAGTGAATAGTCTAACATTGAATGTGTGTAGCCCCTTGAACAAAGTGATTCAGTCAACTTGGCATACCATTTCCTACTTGCCTGTTTCAAACCAACACAAGGATTTATTCAGTTTGCACACAAGGTCAGACTTGTGCACCATAAGGCCTTGTGGAACTTGCATATACACCTCCTCATGTAAATCTCTATGGAGAAATGCATTATTGACATCAAGTTGATACATTTCCCAGCCTTTCATTACTGTTGTACCAATTGGAGCCCTCACATTTGTCATTTTCACGACTGGAGAAAATATTTCTGTATAGTCTACGCCTGCTTGTTGAGTATATCCCTTCACTACCAGTCTGGCCTCTAGCCCTTCTATTGTGCCATCTGCTTTGTGCTTCACTTTATAAACCCACTTGCAGCCTATTGCTCTCTTCCCTGCTGGAAATAGTACTAGGTCCCAAGTATGTTTTGCATAGAGTGTTTCAAATTCCTGTGTCATGGCTGCTTGCCATGCAACGTCTAGAGATGCTTCCTCATATGAACCAGGTTCACAATCATATGAGATATTGGCAACGAATTGCCGACTATCATGAGTTAAGGCATTAAGAGATATATGTTGGGCAGTTGAACCAGATGTAATGAATGAAAATGATGGTGTGCTATCAGCTGATGTAGTGTAAGGAGAAGGGACAGTATGATTAGGTTATGTTTTGGGAAGTGCAACTATATAGTCTTTTAGGTAGACAGGTGTTTTGTGTGTCCTGGAGGGTCTTTGTATAGTGGGATTCGGTGAAGGTTGTTGGTTGTCATTACTTGTGATGACCCAAAAGGTCATCACTTGTTTTTAAATTGAATTCTGCACTTCGAGGCCTTAAAAACCTCTTTTAGCATCACCTCGATTTGCATGCGCAGTCCGGGCGCGTAGCCGGAAAGCCTATATGTGAAATTCTGTGAAAAATAATAAATTTTGACTATAAAATGAATTAATTTGACTTCGGTCAACATTTTAGGTAAACGGATCCGGACCCGTGATTTGACGGTCCCAGAGGGTCCGTAGGAAAATACGGGATCTGGGCGTATGCCCGGAATCCAATTCCGAGGTCCCAATCCAGAGAAATGAAATTTTGAAGGAAATTGTTTTCTGAAATCGTTTAAGGAAATTTGAAATGAAATTCGGTTAGAACATGTTAGTATCGGGCCCGTATTTTAGTTTCGGCGCCCGACACAGGTCTTATATATGATTTAAGATGTTTCTGTGAAATTTGGTGAAAAACGGATATAATTTGATGTGATTCGGACCTAAAATGCTAAAGTTGATGTTTTATGAAGTTTGGGGAAAATCCTTTGATTTTGAGGTTTAATTCGTTGTTATTGAGGTTATTTTGGCGATTTGATCGCGCGGATATGTTCGTATGATGTTGTTGAGTTAGTACCTATGTTCGGTTAGGAGCCCCGAGGGCTCGGGTGTGTTTCGGATGTGTTTCGGGAGGTTTTTGACTTAAGAAAAGTTGCAGGTTTTTGTTGTTCAGTGCCCAGGGATTTTACTCCTCGCGTTCGCGTGGTCCCTCTCGCGAACACGTAAGGCAAATCTCCCAGGTGCCAGATTTCTTCTTCGCGAACGCGAAGCTTGAGACGCAAACGCGAGGCTGAGGAGGGAGGACCCTTCGCGAACGCGTCCATGCTCCCGCGAACGCGTAAGGTTAAGGCCTGGGGAGGGGGTCACCAATTTGTTCATCGCGAACGCGGTCCTTAGCACGCGAACGCGAGGCTCGAGGAGTTCCTACTCCGCGAACGCAAGCCGTTATCCGCGAACGCGAAGGCTTACCCAGCCTGACCCATCGCGAACGCGAAGTGGCCGTCGCGAACGCGAAGGGCAATTTTGCCCAGCTATTTTAAAAGACCAGAAAACAGTAGCATTTCGGGATTCACTCAAAATTTCACAACTTCTTCATCTTAACTCCAAATTGGGCGATTTTTGAAAGAGGATTTCACCACAAATTCATAGGTATGTAATCTTTGACTCATTTTCTTCAATTTTCATTAACACCCATTAGATTTCTAGGCCTAAAACATGAGATTAAGGGTAGAAAATTAGGGATTTGAGTAGAGTTAGGGCTTTTTGATTAATTGTGATTTAGACCTCGTTTTGGGGTCGAATTCTGGAAATAATTATATATTTGGTCTCGTGGGTGAATGGGTGATTTGATTTTGGTCCGAACCTCGTGTTTTGACCAAGCGAGCCCGGGGTCGCTTTTTGGGTTTTGGGAAGAATGATTAGAAAGCTATAATTAAGCATTGAAATTGGATTGTTTAGCATTTATTGATGTTATTGAATCGATTATGTCTAGATACAATTGATTTGGAGCCGAGTTCGAAAGGAAAGGCGGTGTTTGAGGCTTGAGTTGGCCATGGAAGTTCGAGGTAAGTGTTCGGTCTAACCTTAGCTTGAGGGATTAGGAGTTGAGTCCTATTTGCTATATGGTAATTGTTGAGTATGACGTATAGGCATGGTGACGAGTATCTATACGTTGGTGTCTAGCATGCCCGTGAGTCTTTATATTGTGATTTTTATGACTTCGTTGTATCTTTCATGCCTTGGTGATGGTTTCCATACGTTGTGTAAAGTTTGTGGAAGGAATTGTGACCTATGAATATTAAGGAGCGTTGGCTCAAGTTGTGTAACGAATTGTGAAAGTGTAAGTGATAATTGAATCTCTAGAGCATTGGCTCGAGTTATGAAGTGAATTGTGAAGTAAAAGTGAGTTAAAGAGAACCAGACGGGTTTAAGAAATAGGGCTAAGGGGTCGGGTCAAAATCAAAATTGGTTCGTTTAATATTGGGGTGGAATTTGGGGTCAATTGAGGCTACAATTGCAATTGGAAATGACTATGTATTAAGTAACCAATTTCTCCCCTTCTAATTTTTATAAAATAATTAAACTAATTTTAAAACAAAATAAAAACACTGATATTAATAATATATAATCATTAATCTAAAAATACTGGGAATGATTTTGTAATTGTAAAACGCTATTAATCGTAATGTATGCTATAATTGCAATTTTATGCCATTTAGCTTAAAAACCTATCAAATAAATTTATAAAAATATGCAAAAATCACCCTAATTATATTTTGGTGTAAATATGAGGATGGAAATAATTTATTCACCAAAACGATAATTTTGGGGATAATTATTGGATTTTGCATTGTTAAAATAGACAATAAATTGATTTTAAAAATCTTAAAATTTGGGGAAAAATACCAAAACTCTTGGGCACGCTTATATATGCATACACATGCTATTTTGAAAGTATTTTTGAGTATGAAAATACATAGGAAAAAATTGGGTATCGACAGTTGCCCCTCTTTACCCGAGAAGGATGAAAGAGTTGTCGTTATTATGTTGACACCCTTGCCGGGCTATTGTTGATTTATTGGTTATCTCCCTTGCTGGGATGTTGATATTACTATGTTGTTCCCTTGCCGGGATTTATTTATTGAATTGTTGCTCCCTTGACGGGATCTTTATTACAATTTCATTTATTTCTTTGCCCTATTGTTTGTGATTGTTGTTTGGGTGAGGAAGAGAGTTAAAGAACGAAGGGTGATGCCGTGCATTGTTTGTTTTGTGAGGAAAGAGTGTAAAGCACGAAGGGTGATGTCGTGCCGCACGATATACCATTCCGTGCCTATTATATTGATTTCATGGTAAGGAAAGAGTGTAAAGCACGAGGGGTGATGCCGTGCCGCATGATGTACCATTCCGTGCCTATTGTATTGATTCTTATGGTGAGGACGAGAGTAAAAGCACGAAGGGTGATGCCGTGCACCTGTCCTTGATTTCCCTGATTCTTGCTGATAATTGAGTTATGTTGTCACTTACGTTTATTTCCTAATTTTCTGTTGTTACTTGAACTTATTTCGAGGTTATAGATTCCCTTACCCTATTTACCTTGTGATTGTTGTTTGGGTGAGGAAGAGCGTAAAACACGAAGGGTGATGCCGTGTATTGTTTTGGTGAGAGAGTGTTAAAGCACGAAGGGTGATGTCGTGTATTGTTTTGGTGAGAAAGAGTAGAAGCACGAAGGGTGATGTCGTGCACTTGTCTTTGATTTCCTGATTTTATTTGATAACCGAGTTACGGTTTCTCTACATTTAAATTGTTGGTTTCCTCTTGATACTTATTGTACCCCGCAACATGATTTCCCCTTCCCATTTTCAATTGAACTGTGGTGATCCTCATATTTATTTGTTGCTCTTCTGTTACTATTCGATGTTTCCCCGCAGCATGTTTCCCCCTCCCATACTTGACCGTATATTACTGTTCTTCTTTTCCGCTGTATATAGTTGAATTGCACAGGCTTATTTGGTAGTCTAGTCCTAGCCTCGTCACTGCTTCGCCGAGGTTAGGCTAGGCACTTACCAGCACATGGGGTCGGTTGTGCTGATACTACACTCTGCACTCTTTTGTGCAGACCCTAGTGTTGTAGACTTCGGACCGCAGTGGGATTGCTGATTCTCGTTCATCAGGCGACCCGAGGTAGTCCTGCAGGCGTTCGCATGCCTTGGGGTCTCCTTCTATCTACTATTCCTATTTCTTTCATGCTTTGCCAGAGACAGTGTTGTATTTATTTCTTTCAGACCTTTGTTTGTAGTATTCTTAAACCGTCTGTGAAACCGTGACACCAGTTCTGGGTAGTCGAGACTCAAACAATTGTATTAGATATTCATGTTCAGATAGCTTATTGTTTCTTTGTTCTGCTTATGTTAAATTCCGTTGTTTAAATGTTATTATTTCGAAATTGTTAAAAAGGTGTAAAAATGGGTAAAGGTAAACTGTTCAATAATTGGC